CAAGAAAATTCTGACCATTTTGGTCATGGTCTTGGAGGATGATTGCTGGTGCAGTGCTCACTCAGTGCTCTAATTTAGCTTATTCGAGCTGTAGGTCTAGATTAATTTTTATCTTAATTGGATGTCAAATGATGAATCAAACAGAGTTGGGGTTCATCCAGGCTACATAGGTCTGATTGTATTAGTGTCAGTTCCTTGAAGTCAAAGTACTACTATGATCGAAGATAAATGCTTTTGAAGTGATCGCCAAAGTGATAGAAGACAAAATACAAATTAAATCTTAATGTGTACATGTTTTATTTGCTCCCATGTTCACTTTTGTCGAGTTACAAACTAGACCTTTGTGGTGTGCGTCTATACGTCCTCTCCAAAAGATTGGTTAACTTTAAGTTACTATACAATCAGACCTCTACCGCATCGTGTATTTGTTTTACTTCAGAGATGTGCTCCCATCGTTGTTGGCTGTCGAATTTGTGTTGTAGTTCATACCCACCACGTTCGTGTCTTCACCACTTCGTCCTCCAGCACAAACGCCAGAATGGAGCAAAAGCTGTGATTTGCCATGTCGGTAAACTGATCCAGCTCGCGGCCATGGGGTGCTATGTCCGCGCCGGAGAACTGATACAGCTCGCTGCCAGGGTGCCATCCCTCTTCTGGCGTGCCATAAAGCCCCTCGATCGAATCTCTGACTCAGCAAATCAAAATCGCCGACCCAGCCAATCTCGTCGGAACATCATCTAGCTTGCCGTGCTCCACTCACTGTAAGTTTGTGTCAGTTTACATGGCACTTATCTCTTCTGGCTCACAGACACCTTCAATGGACCTTTGCCACTGCTAACAGTCTGTATTGTACACTCCGGGACCAAGGCGATCGACATTTTCTTGGCTGGTCGATGGTGATTGCTCCCATGTCTGTTTTTTTGTTCTTTACAGAATTTGGTTCTATAATATCATCATTTAGTGAATTTTACCTACCTACACAAACATGATATGACATGCTATTGCCTGTTCTCTAAGGTAATGTATAAATTTGTTGCTTAGTTAGGAAGAGGCTGAATCGTGTTGGATTTGCAGCGAGAGGAAGCCTGTCAACATGATGAACAGGGTAGTTTTTACTGAGGGTAGCTCGGCAAGGAAGAGACCGAATGTTTGTCATTGACCTACTTTGAAAGTGAGTGTATTTACCTCATCTGGTCGTTGTTTCCTCGTGAATTAACTTTAGATGGGGGAGCTTGATCTCATAATGTCTACTCATCAAAAATTCCCGACTTCCTTTTTATTAGTAGCATCTTTCTTAACGAAAGGTTACAAATCTTGGTTAAATGGACTATTCAAGATGTTCTAAGGTTTAAATTACTTTGACTTGGACTTGTTAATGTCAGTTGAATAACATTTATTTTAATATTTTCCATGAGATGGCTCATCATTCTGAGTGTTATCTTGTTCTGTTATTAGTTAGAAGAATATATAGGGAAAGCAACTCATTTCCTCGATTAGACCTTATGTTATATATAATTACTGGAAATAAAATGTTGTTTAGACGAAGGCTAAAACCGCAGTGGCAGACATGCTTACAAAATCTCGTGAAGATCGTTCTGCTAATGATGGTACTCTAACAGAATAAGAACAGTGGGAAAGAGAGCAAGCCAGCCTTGTTCGTTATTGAGAGGGGGAAGTTGAAATCTTACCAGATAAAGGGCGTTAAGTGGCTAATATCACAGTGGCAAAATGGGCTTAATGGGATACTGGGTGATCAAATGGGCCTTGGAAAAACAATTTAGACAATTGCATTTCTTGCTCATCTTAAAGGGAATGGTCTGTATGGTCCATACATGGTTATTGCTCTTCCTTCCACCCTGTCAAACTGGTTGAACGACTCAATGAGGTAAAGCATCCAGAGTTGTCCTTCACTGTGCTTAGTTTGTTTGCTATCTTATGTGGAATACTTAATTTCAGGTTTGCTCCTTCTCTAAATGGTCTGATTTATCATGGAGATAAAGTGGCTCGGACAGAGCTAACGAGAAACTACATGCCCAAAACTGTTGGTCCTGGTTTTTCGATAATAATCACTTCATATCTGATGGCCATGTTTGATGCAAAGTTTCTTGCTAATTATAAGTGGAAGTCAAATGATCTGAATTATTGCCTTTGTAAGCAAAAACTCAACATTTTATTCCTTTCTCTTGAGTGCATTCCTCATTATTTAATCATCGATGTCCATATGCTAGCTTCATGTTTCAGTCATAATTCCTTTCTCTTCGAGGGAATTTATGGCCAGGTGCGCTCATATACTTCTATCTTCTAAACATGCTTTCATATGAATGAGCTGAAGTCATTTCCTAGAAACTATGGTGTTTTTACTTTTTATTTAGGTTGCTTGACCAAGGTTGTTCAGTGATTATGTGCACTCCACATGCATCGCCATTTATCGAGTAAGAAAAACATGATATTTTTCTGATTATTTTCACAAGTTATCAAAATGCATTATTTTACCGACCATCACAAGTTAACGAAATGCATTATTTTACCGTTTAAATGATGCTAATTGCCTAGGGTCGATAGTGTAGAAAAATAGAATAATTTTCTACTTATTTATCTTGTTACGGTAGTTTTTGTATATAAGAAACTACAAAGATATAACCAAACCAACTTTCTTTATCAAAATTCATCTAATAGAGGACCCTATTGTGTGACAACATTGAGACACAACATGGAGCATTGCAACTGTCACAATGACATTGGAGGCAAGGGAATATTTTAACTCGGTGTTAAAAATATTAAAGGGAAAAAAGAGACGACATCACATATTATGACCATGGTATGTGTATTGTAGATTTTTAGAAATGCATGGCCAATATGTTGTTATGTCTTGACTTGTCCTTATGATTGAGTGCTTGTCAGGAAATTGCTACGGGACATAGCTCGGCAAGAAATGTATTTTATTATGTTGTTGTCATCAGATGGTACCTCGGTGAGTAAGTTGATGATAGCCTTCTAATCATGGGTGTCAAGTCCAATCAAATCTGGTTGAGGGCCATCTTATTGTGCTCAGATATGGAAAGAATCCGCAGCCGCTCCGTTGCCACAATTGCTGTCGGCACTTGATGCAGAGGGGTGAATGAAAGGAGAATGTGAATAAGGAAGAGTGCACGGCAAAGGAGTGGCCCATACCTTTTTTTTATCACAATGAGGGAGTTAACCCACACTAGGTCCATGATCTGCTGAATGGCGGTTGTCTGGTTTGAGCTGATAGACAGTTACCATGGAGAGCAAGGCGGTGTGGGGCACCTCGTGGATGATCTTGTCTATGCTTCATAACCAAAACATAATCTTCTTTTGGTTATTTCATTTTCTCTAGGATTTGTCCCCTTATGCTTCTCTTATTGCCTCAATAAAGTTTGGTATTATGGCAACACGCGGGCACATACCTTGACAAGAGTCTTTTTTTATTTTAAAAGAGGCAAAAGGATCGCATGATATATATCATTTCATATAACTTGGCAGCAAAAACACACTGTGGTGGTCGCCCTCAGCTACAGCGATGTGCATTCCTTGGCATCGGGAATTGGGCTGGGACGTCGTGGAGAGGAGAGGAGGGGCAGGCGACACAGTGGAGGGAAGGAGAGATGGCGGTGAGAGGAAGGTGTGGGCTGAATGACATAGCGTCGAGGGAAGGCGGCAGCAAAAAGCCGTGGTGGGGAGAGATGGCGGCGTCGACGCCGTGACGTGGAGAGCAGTCCGGGGGAATGAGATGTGCATGTGTCGTGCGGTGAGAGTGAGAGAGTGAACTGTTTTGTTTATTATAAGATGAGAAGAAAATGTGCTGCCGTTTGTGTTTTTTAGGGGAAAATATTTGTTTGCTGTGAGAGAAATATCACTTGCTCAAAGCGAGCAGCTGACAAATGAATATATATTGTATATGGGCTTATCTGATTTTTTTAAATATGTGTTTATATATTCCCTTTTGTAGATTGGAGATAAGAACTATGACTTCGAATGATGCTTTGAAAGTGTGAACTCACAAAGCTTTATGATGGGCGGACTGAAAACTCATTGAAGTCTTACACAATTGGAAGAGATATGTACAAATAATGGTTCTTCTGTAATACTTGTTGGATATGATAATATATAAGATGAATTTTCATATATGCTTATTTTTGCAGAGTATGAGAGAGATGGAGATGTTTTATGTCAACATTCAAAAGGAATCCTTTTTTTGACAAAATTGCCGACGTGGTGTTGTTTGAAGGGGCCTAAAATTCGCCGAGTTATATACAATAATACATGTATATATGTGCAATCAGAATAAAGAATTAAAAGGCCCGTGGCAACGCACGGGCATTGTACTAGTAATTAATAAAGATGGCAGTATGCATCAATCGATGCAGAGGCACGGGGTTTTAACCACCTTTTCAAAAAAAAGTGCATGATTTTGTTTTTTACAGCTCACATCAAAACGTATTTCGTGATGAAATTTCACACGCATCTAGTAGACACAACTACTTGTGTATTTTTTCAGATTGTTTTGAAACTTAAAAGATTGATTTTAAAGTTTTTGAAAAAATCGGCTTCCTGGAGCCCCAGAGCAAAAACTCCCGGATAGTTTTTTGTTTGGGGCGCGAATGAAAGAGTATATTACTCAGCAGAAATGGACTAGGACCAATCTAGCCTATGGCAACGGAACGGGACCAGTAGAGGTTGAGGAGCAGGAATGCCGGCTTGAGTACATGCATACCACCCACGAATTTCAGTCGACATACAGCACCCACGAAAATCGAGTTTGGCAGGCAGCTGTGGGCACGGACTGATACTTGCAACGCATGGCCACCCACTAATTCAGTCGACGGACAGCACCGTGCATGAAAATCAAGTTCCAACCACTTGCAAGTTGCAATGCATGCTTCCTTCCACGCGTGTATAAAATACGATGCAGTTTGTGCCAAGACAAGAGCACTTCTTGCTGAGTTATTGCGTTTGTGTGCACATAGTTACATACCACCATGGCGAAATCCTGGCTGCTGCTGTTCTGCTTGGCGTTTCTCTTGCCGGCGGCAAGCGCGACGTGCCACCCCGACGACCTACGTGCGCTGCGGGGCTTGGCCCGGAACCTTAGGGGCGGTGGCGCCGCCCACCTCCACAGCGTGTGGTCTGGCGCCTCGTGCTGCGATTGGGAAGGTGTGGGCTGCCATGGTGCCAGCGGCCGCGTCACGGCTCTGCGGCTCCATGGTCACGGCCTCGCGGGGCCCATCCCAGGAGCCTCCCTTGCGGGCCTCATAAGGTTGGAGGAGCTCTTCCTTGGCTCCAACTCTTTCGCGGGCACCCTTCCCGACGAGCTCTTCAGCCTTGCTGGGCTGCAGAGGCTCTCCCTCGCATCCAACAACCTCGCCGGTCAACTGAGCTCGCGCCTCAGCGACCTCATAAACCTCACCTTGCTGGATTTGTCCATCAACCACTTCTCCGGCCACCTCCCTGACAACGTGTTCCGTGACCTCATGTCGCTCGAGCATTTGGTTGCACACTCCAATGGCTTCTCCGGATCACTGCCACCGTCCCTGTCATCACTGTCATCTCTCCGTGAGCTTAACCTCCGGAATAACTCTCTGTCTGGTCCGATTTCTCATGTCAACTTCTCTGGCATGCCGCTTCTTGCTTCGGTTGACTTGAGCACAAACTACCTGAATGGGTTGCTGCCAGTTAGCCTCGCCGACTGCGGCGAGCTAAGGTCGCTCAGCCTTGCCAACAACAGATTGGTCGGCACCATCCCGTCGTGGATTGGTGAGCTTGACCACCTTCACTACTTGGATCTCTCAAATAATTCAATGATTGGCAAGGTACCGAAGAGTTCGACACGACTCAAGGGCCTCGCCACCGTTGTGGGGCATTCACCGGGTATGGCTTTCACTAACATGCCCTTGTACGAGAAGCGTAACAGACGCATTCTCGGCCAACAACCAAATGTCATATCTGGAAGCCGCAACACTATCAGATCTGGGACCAACAATGTTCTATCTGGGAATGACAACACTGTCATATCCGGGAATGACAATGTTGTAACTGGGAGTAACAATGTCGTATCTGGTAGTGGCAATGTCGTGACTGAGAGAAACCATGTTGTTTCTGGGAGCGACAATGTCGTATCCGGGAGGAACAATGTCGTAACTGGGAGCAATAATGTTGTATCTGGGAGAAACCATGTCGTATCTGGGAATAACAAAGTCGTAACTGGAGGTTAGTGATCTGTCAGTGGATTAATTCCCTCTTCTCCGGAGGAGCTCATGTCCTTGTCCAAGTTCAGTGTAGTTCACAATCCCTTGGTGGGGCCAATCGCGTATTTGTAACTTCATGGGTATAGAATCCTATTACTACTAAAATATCCACAAAACGTTTTATATCCACGCTGAACTAAACAGCAACTGGCTTGCGGCCGATGTAGATCAAGCTTGTTTGCTTATGTGCAAATTTGCATCGTGGATGTCTAACGTGGTGAACTGGTCATTATTGCATCTCTTCTATTCTATGTGATGTATGATGCTTTCTTATATATGATGATCGGGCTATGGATCATATGGTTAATTATGCATACATGATGTCATCTAGCTATACGCTTTGCTTGTGCAAGTGTCAATGTTAATCACATGCACCAATGTGAAATGTTTGGATGAAGGAGATGGAACAAAAGAGCTGACATAAATGTTGTTGGCATCAGGTCGTCACTTATGTAGTGCTAAACTTTTGACTATCCATCCACATAACAATAGGTTCGACGCTCCATGGATTCTTTTTCGTTATGTTCTTGTGTTGAAGTAGTGTGCCAGTTGATACAATTTCAGACGGGGTCTCACATAACCCACTTTTTTTGACAAATTATGAATTTATTGGCTTAAAGTGGAGCATCAAGAGTATACAAACACAATGAGCCCTCACCCAGCCACTGTCACCTGATCCAACCACCAAAAGCCAAACTCCACATATGTCAGTGGTGATGCAATATGGATCCTTGGTCGGGTGCATCTTGTAGTTCGTTTGTGGCATGATTGTCTACACCTACGTAGTTCTCAATTAAATTAAAAAAACATGTAAGTGTCTTAAGGTTTGATTATTACTTGGAACTACTGTGCATATAATTCTGTGCCTAGTTCCTGGAAGACGCAAGGAGGGTTGCCAAGATTAGCAGGGACATGACCATGGCAAAGATCTTTTGCAAGCCATGGTAGCCTAGGGTAGCCTGATAGTTGGGGTTAGACTATCTGAGGTCTAGGTAGGAATGCAAATCAGTGGTACAATGCAAGGGTTTATTTGTATATAGGTATTGCGTATTTATAGCGAACCACAAGTGAGATTTACATGCGTATGTATGGAAACTGCAAGTGTGAATTCAGAAATAACTATTATAAAATGGTATCAACCTTTGATTTTGACAGAGTGGGTAATAATAACTCTTGCCATAATTGTCACTAGAGGGTCGTGTTAACTTCATGCTACAGACAGTACAAGAAGATCTGATGGTAGCACCGCTTGTTGGTTGCGCCGTGTGCCACACAGTGTTACCCATGTTGTATTAGCGGGCTGTAATTCTGTTTTTGAGGAATAAAACCCACATTATTCCGCAAAAAAACTTCATGCTTCGGTTAATTCATCCAAAAGTTGATATCCAAGCCAGGAGGTCTCGACTTCATGCTTGAATTGGCTGGAGCATGTATTCAATATGGTATCCAAGCCAGGAGGTCTCGACTTCAAAACCTTGCCAGCGCAGTATTAAAGAAAACAGTTTTGTGCCCTAACTATTGCATATCTCAGTCCAATATCATTAATTTTACATGAAGATTCATGCAGGCATTTTTTTGTCTTTTTTCTTTCCCTTTCTAATTTGATTGTGCCATTTAGATGTACAATAAGTAGGGCACATCTAGATCGAAAAAAATATATTATGCGGACTACATCAATTGCATGTAAGACCCGAGCAATATACTTCAGCCACGCTGGGACGCAGATCACATAATGCCAAATATAGAGGAAATGCCTCGTTGGTTGATGCACTAGAATCAGTCAGAAGGAAACTTTGGAAAATCATCCTCAAAATCGTTTGTAGATTTATTTTTTGAGCAAAAGAAACATTACAAGTTTTCTTCAGAATCACGGGGACTTTGATTCAATGGCAATGCTTCTGGGTATACAAATAATATCAGAGGTTGACATAGACCACACATGACGTCTTTTGTCGAGCCCAGACGATGCTTAGGCCAAAGCGTGGGCTTCGACAATCGTCTCTCTCCGTTCATGCATGCCTCAAACATGTACTTCCTCCGTCTGAAAATACTTGTCCGAGGAATGAATGTATCTAGATGTATTTTAGTTCTACATACATCCATTTGTATCCATTTCTACGACAAGTATTTCCGGACGGAGGGAGTAGTACCCAAAAGCCTGAGCCAATGTGCATCATGGTTGTGGACAATCCGGTGCTACCTGCACTTGATTTAAGTGAAGACTGAGTGCTAATGATAGCTTCCAAAATCCAAAGTAGTTTGATCGGATAATCTTGTGTGGGACCGGCCGCAACTCTACCTTCATGCGACTCTATCTTATACACTGCTCGACGATTGGAACTTCTTTTTCTGTGATCACCACCAGGGGAGAGGGGGGCAGATCCCGCCATGGTAGCAAGATCTGCTAGTGTAGTTTTTCCACCCCCTAACTTTCATATTGGCGGTTGTTATTGAGTTCGGCGGATTTTGGTGACAGTGCTTGCTGTAAGACTCTCACCTCCAACTTCTTCAACTTCTTCTTGTTATCTTCCAAGAGAAGACCTGCGCGACGGTCTTCCTGCCCAAAAGCCTGAGCGTTTCATCATGATTGTGGAGCAATCTGATGCTACCTGCACTTGATTTAACTGAAGATTGAGTGCTAATGATAGCTTCCAAAGTAGTTGGATCGGATATTCCTGTGTGGGCCCAGCCGTAACTCACCCCTCATGCGACTATGCGCTTCTACACTCCTCGACGATTGGAACTTTTTTTCTGTGATCACCACCGGGGAGGAGGGGGGCAGATCCCGCCGTGGTGGCGAGGAGAGGTGCCCGGAGCGGGGCAGCGTGGTTAGTGCTCTGGGCGGCAGGTGGTGGGCAAGAGGTGGATGGTCTGGTTGAACTCGTCCTCCCTCTGTCGCTCCCGCGGGCGGCAGGGGAGGAACCCTAGCCGGCCCCCACCAGCAGTCCTCCTCCTCCTCCTCCCTCCTCGCCGCCGCCTGCTCGGGCCGGCGGGCAAAGCCCGGCCGGCCTAGGCGGCGGCGGGGCGATTTCTCCTCCTCGCGTGGTGGGGCTGCCGCGGGCAGATCCAATCGGGCCGGGGCGCGTCGTGGTGCGGGACGGTGCGGCGGCGCTATGGTGGCGACTGGCGGCGGTGCTGGGCGTCTCCTGGTGGCGCGGAGGGCTGCACAGGGCCGATGGAGTGTGCGGGTGCTGGCGGCGGACCTTCATTCGCGGGATCCAGGCGGCGCGGGAGGTGGGCTCCCTTCCGATTGGTCGCGGTGGGGTGTCCTTGGTCAGGTCCGGTCGGACCTGACTCCGGCCTGCTCCGGCGCTGTGCGGGAGGTGGCGGCGGGGCTGGGGCGCAGGCTGCGCGGTGGCTGGCGTGCTCGCGGCGGCGGCGGCTCCCGGTTTGGGATCTGGCGCAGATGGGCGGCGCGGGGGCGGGCTGCGGCCTCGGCGGTGCTCCACAGCCGCTGCAGGGCGGCTCGGGGCTGCCCCTCGGGGTCCCGGCATGGATGTGGGCTGCCACGGCGTGGTGGTGGCTCATGGCGGTGGTTTGGGTCGTTTCACGGCGGCGGTCGGTCATCTCCGGCGTCGGCCCGTCGGGAAGCTGCCTGTTTTGGCTTTCGATTCCTCTCCTCGGCGTTCGGATACTACCTTTGTCAAAGGGCTGGCCCTCTCCCAGCTGCGGTCCATCGCCTGTCTCGCGCCCGGTGCTGCGGGACTGATCTTGTCTCGCGCCCGGCAGCAGGACCGAGCTCGTCTCGCGCCCGGCAGCAGGACCGAGCTCATCTCGCGCCCGGCAGCAGGACCGACCTCGTCTCGCGCCCGGCAGCAGGACTGAGGCCGTCTCGCGCCCGGTGCAGCAGGACAGGACGATGGAGGCCAGTTTCGGCCGGCCTCTTGGGTCTCGGCGCTGGGGTCGCCCAGGGGTGCGAAAGACGAGGCCTTTCCACTCGTCTCTTTGGTTGGAGTAGCGGCTGGTCTCGGGTGAGGTGGTGTCAAGGTCTTGGATGCCAGGGTGGCGGCCCTGGTGGTGGGAGTGCGGTGCTCGTGGGCGAAGCCCGTAGCTTGGTGCTGCCCGGTGACCATGGCCGTGTGGGCGGCATGGTTGCCGGGGTGTGGCGTCCAGTGGTGGTGATTATTGGCCGGGGTGAAAACCTGCTCTATCTTCGGACGGACCGGCAGCGGCGATTCATTCCCTTCTTGAAGGCGTCGTCGCGACTTTCATTGCCCGTCGTGTTGCTCCAGGGGAAACCCTGACCCTCGTGTCGGGCGGTGGCGGCGCTCCGGTGTCGTTCCCTTCCTGAAGGCGCCGCCTTGGAGCACACGGTTCGCCGTATGCGGCTTCATCTCTTGGCGGTGGCGTGTTCACAGCCGAGTTCTCCGATTGCTCTTGTAGTGCTTGGGGTGGTGTTGCTGCGCTCAGCATCTTTGTATCCTGCCTTGGGTGTGTGTGTTGTGTGGTCGTGCGTTTGTACCGGGTTTGTTGATGATCTTTGCTTTATATATAAAGCGGGCGAAAGCCTTTTTCGATAAGAGATCGATGGGAAGGGGTTGAGAGGTGGAAGGCAACATGCGCCAACGTGGGAGATGACCGGAAACTTCGCTCGTGCCACAAGTTTCATGGATGGAGTGCACTTCAAGATTGGCTTCCAAACTGCAAATATGGAGCACCAGGGCACATATGGAGCGCCCTCTAATGATTTTAGCATTGCAGTTCGCTTTGACGACTCTGCTAGAGTAGTTTTTGTTGGAAATATAAACAATTTACCGAATGATTTTATTAACAGAAATACTAGATAAAGCATGACTAATATAGTAGAGATAAAACAAGTCATACGTTCTGACAGAGAGAAGGAAAATAGCTTCTGCATATATGAACCGTAGCTTATCATATCTATAGCAAACAGTAGAACTAGTTGCATATATGAGGTAGAACCTAACATATTTAGGGCAAGTACTAGCACGAGAAACTGTGGCAGGATATCTAACAGAAAGAAGAACACATACGGGACAGCAGTAGCAGCAGCACTGGACTTGGGGTCGGTGTCCTCGCCAGCCATGTCGTCGAGGAGGTTGTCGTCGGAGTTCGGGGCATCCGTGACGAAGGAGTCAGTCAGTAATCACGCAGAGCGCTCCCCAAAAACCTTATCACCCTTCTCCCGTACAGGACTGAAAGAGGTGCGGTTTCGAAGGCCTACTGTCCCGACCTGCGGTGCACGCCGCAAGCCGGGATGAGGAAGACAGCAGCAGCTCAGTGATTGGAACCGGTGGCGAGAGGAAGGAGAAGTTCTGGTGCGTCTCTCTGAGAGGAGCGACCTCCCTTTTATAGGCGCAAGAGAAGGAGGCGAGAGGTTGCGCCGGGAGATGAAACGAACAGATAGCAGCCGAAGGGTGCAGCGTTCATATTCAATATCCACTACTGCAAAAACTTTCCAGCTCCCGAGTGACCGGCTCGGCTCATTCCCGCAACCCGAGGCGAGGCGAGGCTGGCGGCGGAGGAGGAGCACGCGTGGATATCCCTCTTGTTCTCATGCTCGTACAAGTGGGGAAAGAACCTCCCTTATAAGGAGGTCCAACTCCCACTAAACTAGCAATGTCTAAATTTTAGTAGTATCCTTTACCTTGCACAAATGGGCTAAGTAGGCCTCTAAGATTTATTAGGAATTTCTAAAATAGTTATTGGGCTGCCCAAAATGGACTAAATTCCAGCAGTTTTCTACCCCCAAACCTCCATATTGGCGGTTGTTATGGAGTTCGGAGTTCGGGGGCTTTGGTGGCAGTGCTTGCTGTAAGAGTCTCACCTCCAACCTCTTCTTATCTCATTTGTGACTTGCATTTTGTCAAACACTCATAAAAGAGAACATGAAAAATTAATCTATGCTTGCTTATGTTCTTGGAGTTGCAGGAGGCCTGATAATGTTGAGGACCCAAAGGAGTTCATGCATGGATGATGAAATGGATGAATGAATGCGGCCATGCTCGAATGGAACTACAATATTATTTACCTTTCTATTTGTATCTAAAGTTTGAAATACTTGCATCGTCTACTCTTTTCTTGCTGAACTATGTGAAGTGTGAACTACCATGTCACTGCAGCAATCGGCCGTGCTTATATATTTTCCTTGCTAAACTATGTGAACTGTGAATAGTATACTGACGATCCAATTCAGGTGCTATAATAAACTTACAAGCAAAAACAGCCTAAATTACATACTGATGATCCAATTATATATAGACAAAGGAGATTTGAGTACAATCTTAAACTGCAGATATTTAAAAAACTGGAGCAGAGTAGAGTGTGTTTCTATGATTACCACTGCATAGCAAATACACGACGAGGCGCAAGCATAAGACAGAAACCCCAATAAGATCATTTGCACAGTGAGTTTCAGAATAAGAAGTAAATAGCATAAAACTACTACTTTACAGGTTATGGTTCCAAAAAACTATCGGTTTCAAATTTTTCTCTCATAACTACCAACTCAGGGGTTGGCTATTTCAAAAAACCCAAATTGTTGAGTCTTTATCAGTTGATACCGATTATGACAGGTCGGGCCCGCATGTAAACACACCGTTAGTTTGACCTTAGTTTGACCGTTAACTTACATGTGGGGCCCATATGTGAGTTTCCTCTTTCTCTTCTCTTTCTTCTTCCTCTCCATCTCTTCTCTTCCCTCCCCATGTGTCTCCCGTCCCGGCCATCTCCCCTCCTGAGCCGGCGACCTCCCTCCCTCCAGAGCCGGCGACCCCCCTCCCTTCCCAGGCCGGCGACCCTCTCCCCCGAGCCGACGACCCTCCCCCATCCCCCTCGAGCCGGCGACCC